TTCTCAGATATTGTGACATAACCACTCGGAGCGCTACGGCCTTCTTCTCTAGGAGGTGTTGCTAGGAGGAGGGTGGGAGGGGGGGGGGAGAGGGGGGGGAGGGGGGGATAATGAGTGGGAAATCTCCGCTCAGTGCGTAGAGCACGTGCACTACTGTATCACGTGCTCTACGCTCTGCTTTCAAAAATGTCGCGCCTCCCGGCCGGGCTCTGCGGAGAACAGCGGGGCGTGCTGCTTGTAGAAATGCGCTGCGTGTACGAATGCTTTCGCATTCCTACACGTAAGCAGTCTTAAGTTTCCTCCTGTAATTTTTCATTTCAAAACTGTGTTGCATAGACTATTAGCGCCGAGATGTTTCGGTGGCGCCCTCTTATGGTTTCCCTCCGTGATGTCACGACTGGGATTTACCTCGCCGTGACGTCACCAGTTGTTATTCTGGCTACTTACCATCGGGTGTGACGTCGAGTTCGATGGTGTGTTTAAAAAGCACAGTAGAAACTAGGAGCCATCGCAACCCGAAACTAACACCGTCAAAGTTGACAATCTGACAGTGCTCATATGCCCATGGTTTGGCCAATCGTGTAAGCCTGACCGCAGCGACGCTTTTGGCCGCGCACATCGCTAATAGAGGACGGTGAAACGCCATCTAGATGCTGTCCTTCGAAGCACACGTATTTCATAGAATACGCTGCAGTTACCATTGCAGCCGTCCCCCCAAAACGATGGCGCGTCGAACGGCGGGAGGCCAGCTGTGGTGGGCGAGAAGCGAGGGAGGGGGGGGGGGGGGGGGTACAGCCAAGACCTCATAGACTAGAAGGGCCTCGGCGCTCTTTCCGCATGACCGAGAGAGAAGGCCATCGGGGCCGCTCTAAAGCGCGGATGAGAAGGCAGCGCGCGGAAGTTTACTTTACCGTCATCGCAATGAGTTGTCAGGGAGTTTTCGTAGGTAGTTTCCGCTGTCCCGCAACGGCTCTCCGCAACCCGCTACGACAGCCGGAACTCTGCAGTCAAGCGATGGGCGCGCAGGCGCAGTAGCGGTTTCTTCGTTGCGGAGGGCATAAAGCGCGAAACACACGTACGACGAAACCGTCCGATCCGACGTCCGACCGCGCAATACGACGGTCGGAGGCGAGGGTTTTCAACGCTCTCCGATGCTACGAACACCCTCTCCCCCAAGGTCATTCCGACAGTCCGCACGTCGGATCGGAAGGTTTTCGTCGTACATGTGTTTCGCGGTCTACGAAAACTCCCTATTATTGAGGCAAGCGTGTTCATTTCTTCAAGTACCAACTGCGCACAACATTTAGATTAGGAAGCTACTTTTAATGGGCTGGCAAATTATAACTACATAAAATCATTGGTGTAAAATGGAAAAAAAAAACAGGTGTATAACGAGGTCTACAGATAGATAGGGTTTACTTTCAAGCATGAAATTGTAAATGATATAATTATAATTATCCCCGCAAGATGGATTAGTTATAAAGAATACTTCGCAAAAATTACGCGATAAAGGATGATTGAAAACGGCATTACAACATCACAGTACCAACACATTTGGCGTAGTTAAGGCATGTAATAACTGCATTCTAGCCTGAAACTAAGCTGTGTATTTACATAGCAAAGATTAGAGGTCAGATGTTCCTGTTGGCCTAGAGTCCTTTCTGCAAGGATGTTATAAAGGATTTTAATTTATTTAAAAAAAAAGCTTACCTTTTTTTTTTTTTTGCTCCTAGAATTACTTGAAATCTTTTCATCTGAATTATAAATCTTTTAATTCAAACTTCTGAAACGTATTTTCCGAAAAAAAAAATTTTGAGCTTAGACCACAACATTAACAAGTTAAAACTATTGGGCCCTTCGTATTATGAATGCCACATATTATGAAGATTTCTTATTAGGGAGTAATGTAGTCCTGAAAGCTGAATTGTAGATACATTGGTGTGACAAATTTATTCCATTTGTTTGCTTATCTACAAATCGCATCACATCATCTTATCGGTGTCTGGTAGCAATCAGTTCGACCAAGACTCACCTCTCCTGATACGAAATATAGTGATCTCCAATGGCACCTGCTTTTAAGTAAGCCTTGGCAAAAACGCCCCTTGAGAAATCAATTTTCGGTGGGAATGCAATGCAACAGACGTCTCTCGAAGGATACCACTCTCCGTGAAGTGAATCTCGCCCATCTGAAAAACAAATGTGCCTTCGTAGAAGTGACAGCAATTTGTGAGTACGTTTTATTAAGTTCCCCCGTGTTACACGAAGCATAATTATATTCGTGTACGAACACGCGTGCCAACAGTTTTAATCGTGCACTTCTTTTTGCACGGATAGATGTGACTTATTTACGCGGTTTCATCTCTTTTCTAAGTGCGTTACAGCATAAACAAAACTGAGAAATATTGGCGGTTGTGAATTCGTAGTAATAGAATAAATTGTTTAATGAGAGATCCGTTAACCTGGACACCTGGCGCAGCACTCAACGTCATATCCGTCCGCAAGGGGAAATATACCGGCAACACGGGCTTTGTATGAACAGGCTGTCAAAGTACCGGTCCCATCTCGAGTCCTCAACGAAAGCTGTCGAACGTAACAAAATACTGCTAACGGACTCGGAGCCCATTGAGCCGTTTTTGAATGATGCCCGACATGATGCCATCCGATGTAAGTCATTCGACGGAAGCTCAGGAGACTTAGGAAGCGGCTGAAACTGTACATACAAGAGACCCGGAGAATCGAAACAAGGAGGAGTTTTTACCCTGCCGTGTTGAGACACAAGAAGATTCTCCCGCGGGATGGCTCTTGTCTACGCTTGTCGCAGGACACCGTCTTGGGGGAACTTCAACCCGTGCGCTTTTTCGGTGTTTTTGTGGTTGCCGCGACATCCTGTAGAGCAACGCTTGTTCGACATGTCGATCCATCGAACAAAGACGCGCGCACGTACGTTTTAAAACAAGGCTTGGCAGACGACGGGTAGAGAAAAACAAAGGAACAGTGCGAACAACTCCGACGTCTGCTCCCAATTTGAACAGTCACGCATGCGCAGTCGGCGGTTTGGCGGCGCTTCGCGAGCCGCCACTGCCAACGGCCGCTTAGGCCATGCCCTTATTTCTCCGCCATCTTTGCCTCCCGACTCACAAGCACTGAGGCCAGAGCCATGAATAGAAAGATTTTGGTCAATGGGAAAAGTGAGCAAATGGGCCAAAGCCAGGGCATGCACCAAACGCAGATAGAGGCTTGGTATGCTCTCTTGGCGAAGAGGCCGAAACGAATCCCCTAGCGGTGGTAGCGAGAAATAGTGAGAAATAGTTTCAGTAAGAGCGTATGGGTTGAATGTAGGAACTCTTCATGGTTGAAGATGTTGTGCACTTGGTGTTTTGATTAAGATCATGCAAAAAGACGTAAGAAACCAATGCGCCGCTCGAACTCTGCTTTGCTTTCACAGAGCACTGCTCGAAGCGCAGATTCCCTTCCCTGCTTTCGGCGCCTGGCGTACGGATTATGTCGATCGTTCTGCCATACTCTGTTTCACGATAACTTGACGAACAGTGGAGGCCTCAGCACCCGCGACCTAATAAGGGCGCCGGAGCAAGGCATGTGACAACACTCCATGGTCGAGGCCTCCGGGGTCTGGCTACCGCTACAACAAAACCCTTCGCGAAAAAAAAAAAAAAAAAAGTTTTAGGTTTCTTTTTTTTTTTTTTTTAAAGGCCGACGAACAACCTCGGTGTTCTGCAGGGAAGATAATCCCCTTAGCGCTCCCTTCTCGTAAGCTGCGAGGGTACCCAAGTTGGGGCAAGGTAAAAAGTGAAGAGGATATAGGAAAATAGGGAGGGGAGGGGAGGCAAAAGTGGAAAGCACGAAGTGTACGCCGGCCTGTAACGGCAATTGAACTCGCGCGATTCTATCTATAACGAGAAGATATGGAGAATAAGGAATAAATAGTCACAAACTTATGAGCTTCAAATATATTTAAACCAAACAAGTGACGCCGCATCCGTCTCCACTCGATTTTTTTCGCCATGATAGCACCGTGGCCGTTTGCGATCGCCGGCGATCGCAGCCGTGTAATTGGTCGTTTCCGTTCAAAACATCGCACTGTGCCCTGGCACCCGTCACAGATTCGCGGCTATATTGAGCGTATGGTTGCCTCATGAACTGTCCGCTAAATTCAACTGGACAATTCACGTCCCGTGATATCAGGTCACGCGACGTAAATCTCCCCGCTAAATTTAGCGGAGGAAACTGAGTAGGGGTATCGGTCGGGTGACGTCAATATCCCCGCAAAACTTTATGGGGAAACTGAATTGGTATCCAGGTCGTTAGACGTCGGTTCCTCCATTAATTAGCGCGAGAAACAAAATTCGCATAGAGGTCACATGGCGTAATTTATTGGGCTAACTTTAGCGAGGTAATTAAATTTATTTATGGGTCACGTAGCATCAATTTTTCTTTTGACTTTAGCGAGGAAACTGAACTAGTTTTTATGTCAGGAGACGTCAATTTCCCCATTAAATTTAGTAGGGAAGCTGAATTGGTGTTTAGATCACGTCGCGTATATCTCCCTCTAAATGTAGCAGAGAAATGTACGGATGGGCGGACGGAAAAGTTCTGAGGTTTGACGGTTTTGTTTAAAAGAAATCCCTGCTTTGAAAAGTAACGGTGATGTATGCATATGTAGACAGCGACGTCATTCAGCCCCAATCAGCGACTGCTACCTCCGCTGTAGATGCAAAATTTAGCCACCAGAGTACCACTGCAAGGGTTCTAGCAGCAGTATACTACTAGCACTCCAGGATAGCAATACTGCTACCACTGCCGACGTGCATCACGTAATAGCGATACAAGATCGCATGCTGGTACGATGCTCATCCAGATCAAAACGGGCAGGAGTGGAGTCTGAACGCTCAAACAGGCGAAAGCTCCAGATCCTACAAAATGACAATCCTGACGAGCTCTTTTTTTTTTTTTTTTTTTTTTGCTTTGTTTTCTTCTTCTAGTCATCAGACAGATAACGGTAAAAGCTACTGGAATGGCCTGGACACGGAGAAATGGGAGCGCGAGGTCGTCGACGAGAGGAAGATGGTAGCGAAGTACGCCAACGTTTCCGAAGACGACATCAGGGGTCTCCGGGGTCCCTTCCTCTTCACCGGGGGCGATGCCGGTTTCCGGATGCTGCACCGTCACTTCGACTACGACTGCACGCTGATCCACAAGCGGGACGGCCCATACGACGCCCCGGTCTTTCCGTACACGCTCGACTACGGCTTCCAGAAGCCTTGCATGGTGAAGGAGTGTCCCAACGACAGCTATCCCGGCCTCTGGACCGTGCCCCTGAACTACTTGTTCAGAAAATATCAGGAGGGAGGAGTCGATAAATACGGGCACTGTTCGATGGCGGACGCCTGCCAACCGGAACTGAAAACTTCCAGTGAGACATTTGAGTACCTAAGGTAAGTGACAGCAATACGTTGATTTCATTACACTTAAATTATATACTTGTACGGTACTCATTAATGAAATTACTTGCAATTGATTACCTTTTAGCGTAATTTCGTAATCAATTGATTATATTTATTCGGAAGTAATCACAAGAGTAATCTGATTACTTTTAAGGTTAGTATTCAAAAAGTATTCGTATCCGTTACTTTTTTTCCCTTGCCGTTCCTTATAACGCCATTTGTTCGTTTGATGTTTCCCTCCAAGAACTCCTCCAACCAGAACACCTAAAGGAGAATGGTTTATCAAAAAGTTGTCCATAATTATGTGTTTCTGATTAAACGATGGACAGTACGAAGGACCCGTTTTCGAACTGGCGAAATACTGTAGTTTCGAAAATCTACTGTAATCGGAGAACTAATGGTTACTTTTTTATGTAACGGCCAGTTACATTTTTTCCTCAAGTAATACAAGACTGCGCTTAATTGAACGCAATATAGCCTTTTCGAAAATCAGTGCCATCTGGCGTTAAATGGGCCATAAAACGATGTTTTTTACTTTCGCTAAATACTACTCAGAAACACTCCCTCGCGTTAACAACCGAATAAACTTGCCTTTGTTTTTCTTTCTAAGAATGGCTTTCGGCAAATAAATTCGAGAAATGTAAGCATTGTTCATCCTCTCAACAGACCAAACAGATCTATTGCTTTATTACCCAGGCATCAAGGAGAGTGCAGGGTTTGGTGTTCCACGCGCCACACACGCACGCCTTCCCCGTATAAAAGCTTGGAAGAAAATAACCAAAATAAAGCGTTGACGAACGCGCGTGCAAGATGCCGTTTGTTTTAGGCATTTGCTTTAGAAAATTTACTACTGCTGAGGCCAGCACGTGCGGCGCGTGTAACACCAATTCCTGCATTCTCCTTGATGCTTGGGTAATTTAGCAATAGGTCTACTGGGAGCTAGAACAAGCGGTCCCGTGGCCTTGGGTCTCTCATATACCGCCAAGGTTAATCATACCCACGCGCTGGGATTGGCAAAGTAGAAAACGTGTGCTGAGCTCCAGGCATTGTTAGGGTTCGGCTATTCTCCTGAACGCAGTGGTTGGGCACGAGCCACTACCTGAATGCCCGCCATTGCATTGTTACGAGCCGAAGTCAAGTACTCGCGCAGTCCTAGTGTCTAATTCATGAGCCGCGCTCGACTGTTGTCGTACAGGAGGTTTCAATCCCACAATTACGTCATAAAGCTTTACGAAGGCAAGACTAAAATAAATAGACCCCTTTTAACCTCGCAAGTTTACCGCGACAAAGAAGAATCTGACCCAGTGGCGGTTCGTGCGAGTATAGTGGGACCAGAACACGGTGTAAGATACGCACTTTAGGTGAGGACACAACGGGGCTAAACGCGCGGCCCGAGGAATCAGATAACGTTCGTTCGACTGGCATCCGAAAGGCTGCATTATTCCGCGGCCACCGTGCCCGCGGCTGACAGTGTCGCCGGCGGCCAAACGGAGAAACTGTGTGAGAGCGAAGAAAATCATCTCGTTGTTATGACACCCCCGGTACACCGTGGTCTTTCTGCACGTACGACAACCTCGCTGGAGTAGTGGCTAGAGCGGTGGCCGCTTTGTGAAGATTTTGCGCGTAGACGACACCATGGCGCTGCTGTTCTGTGCCCTAGGAGCGCGCCCCCGCCAGCCCCATCATCAGCGCTGTTAAGGGGTGTCCAAACAGGACACTACAAAACTCACGACTCCGGCAAATCGTGCCGCGCTCTGCCGCGATCCGCTTCCGGCCGTCGGAGGGAAATTTCCCTCCGTCATTTCTTCCCGGGGGGAAACTTCCCTCCGTCAAATCTCCCCCTCGCTTCCTCCACGGCGGCCTTGCTCTGCTTATCACGTGGGGTCCGGAGAGCCACTCACACGCTCTGTTGGCTGTCGGTCAATCGCTCAAGGCCTCCGCTCACAATAGGCGCTTTCAGCGCGCGCCAGACTGAGCCGCCATAGCCGAGCTTCTCTTGTCTTACCGAGATGCCAAGTCACTGAAGCGGGGCGTTGACGAGTCTCCACAAGCGCCTGTGCTAGGGAGAAGGAAACAGTAACATTTAAAATGGCAGTAACCTGTCCTGCTGTGGTACTAATGAAGTGGAGCGAACAAAATAAGAGGGAACAAAAACTGAAGGTCGTTAATGGCGGCGCCCAAGCACAGCTGTCTGAAAGCGTCTATACGGAACCGCATCGGACGCCATCACGACGGAAGTGAATCTCGACAAAGAAAGCAGATCCGAGGCGGACGAAACGCACCCTTCGACGCAGGAATGTCCCAAATCCACCCGAGGCCGGACCTCCTTGGCCTTCGAGCCGAGGCGACGGCGGTACGCGAGGGCGTTGGCGAGGTGAGCCAGACGCAGGTGGCGTGTGACGTCAATCTGAAGAGGAGAGCAGTCGTGATCGTAAAAATTTTCACGACTCCTGCAAACATTTTCACGACTCCGACAGACCGTAAAAATAGAAGCGTCCGCTTTAATTTTCACGATTTGCCGGAGTCGTGAGTTTTGTAGTGTCCTGTTTGGACACCCCTTTAGGCGCTTACTACTGTGGTTTGACTGGAGCTTTTCGCGGTGCGAAACAACTGCTAATGTTGTTCTGTATACTCTGTTTCACCTTATGAATGATGTACCACAGGAAAGACTTCAAGCGCGAGCTCTTTGCTCTGGGGCACATCTCGGCGGCACACGCTCTCGTGAATTAAGAGCAGCTGCCAACGCTATGAGCTCGCGCTTCTAGCCTTCGTGGCGGTACAACATAAGGTGAAACGAAGTATAGTAAATTGTAGTTCTGCCGGCAGTTTCATACTTTAGACCCATGTTCCGAATAAAAAAAACAGGACGCGGGATGGCCAAAAAAAACCTGGTTTTCGTGCAAGGCCCGTCAAATTATGAGGCGCTGGAGAAATGCAGCCTTCTGCGTTAAGTCCTTATTTCGAACTCTTTTTGTTCGCCTTCCGCCCATTGAAAAGCATGCGGCAAGGGCCTTAGAACGCGCCTGGTATCGCTGCGCCGCAGCGTTCTTCCGCATCAAAAAGTTCGTCTGCTTTCCTCGCCGTCACCATGGCAACGAACGCCGAATGAATAGAAGCACGCACGGTACCGCCGCGTGAAGCTAGCAACAGCTGACGCCATTTTTACGAATGCCGTCTGCTAGCCAAAGCCGAACGCGGTGTGTCAGATCAACCGCCTCCGCCGGTGCGCCGCTAGCAAAGACGACGAAGCTGAGACACGCCGACGGCGATCGAGCAAGCAACAACACCGCGGGACGGCTGCAGCGGCGGCATTTATTCGGATCAAAGGCCGCCTTCGCCGGTGCGCCGCTAGCAAAGACAACGAAGCTGAGGCACGCCGACGGCGAATGGGCGAGCAACAGCACCGCGGGACGACTGCAACGGCGGCATTTATTGGGATCAAAGGCGCGAAATAAGCAAGAACAATTTTATTTGAATCATAACACCCCGATATCCAAGTTGGGGACCACATACCTTTGCTGGGTCTTTCCTGTGAACTTTTTACAGAGACAGGGGGTGCCGCATTCAAAATACAGCTCCCTTTGCAAAATATGGGGGCCCTGAAGAGGACCGTTGAGACCGCTACCAGAACCTATAACTGACGTAACGAGCACTTGACGAGCGGTTGGCGCATAAGTCGTCTTTACGCATGCAGGCGGGTGACGGGCTCAGCGCAGCGGATCCCTCGAAGTCACCGGGGCCGTCAGAATCCTCGCCCTGTCTGCGTCGGGGCTCTAGATTTTGGCGGCCCGCGGCGACGAACGACTGGAATCTATCAGTGTTTCCGCGCCTTCTCTCTCCTCCAAAACATGAACTTTGCAAGGTGGCCAGCGAAATGGTGGCTCTCGCGCCGTCCACGTGGAAGAGAGTTTTTTGACGTGGGCCCAGGTGCCCTCCACCGTATTGGTGTGCGCACCAGTGTTCGGGTCGACAAAGTGCAGCTTGTGGTTAACGGTGAGGTGCGTGAATCTGCAAGCTTGCGATAGCCAGCCCAACAATCTGTGATTATTCTTGTTCCAGGGCGGACCCACTTGGCTATTAGCCCTTGCAGGGTTTTAGCGTCACGGGTCTCCACGGGAACAAAAAAGCAGCACCCGCTGCAACGCGCCACACCACCGAAAACCCACTGGCCAGGCCTTAAATACCTGCGATGGTACTTGTGCTGACCGATCATACTCTCGTCTAGTTCTACAGTCACGCCTTCGCCACCAATCATGTCTGAATGCTTACAGACGGCATTTACCACAACCTCCCGACAAAGGCTCGCCCAATCAGTTATTGTCTTACTTGCGATATCAGCCTCCCGCTGAATGACGGCGCACGGTAGGTTCTGGCATCCGGAGGATGATTTTCATGAGTTGGAGAAACGTGAGGTGCGTGCGATCCTTCGAAAAAGGAACCGCTCCGTACCGAGACCTCGCCCCGGCACTGAACTTTGACCGGCTTCCTCTTGGGCACCTCACGAGTCATCCACACACCGCAACCCCCCCCCCCCCCCCCCCCCCCCCGTGTAGCCATCCGCAGATCTAGCGCGGACTTGCAGCTTGTCATCGCAGCTTCGCACTTTGGACACGCACGAAAACCCAGGAGCCAGGAGCAGGCCAACGCGCTGAAGCAAATTAATTGCTTCAAGAGGGTCTTTCATGGCGCCAAGAAGACGGCACAAGTTGAACGCCATGGCACTGCGATGCTCGCCTCTTGAAGAATAAAGCGCCGAAGGGGAACTGCGCGCTTCTTTGCATTTATTATATTTATTTTATCCGCCATTTTATACCTCGTGACACAATTCTAACAAACTCATTGGTTGATCTGTCGGACCACACCATCGCGTGACATAAAAAAAAAAAAAGAAAAAAAGAAACGCCAAACGTATGTCCACGGACGGCATCGTCACAGAGAAGGGAGCAGTCGAACCCAACAACAAAATGAAGTAACAAAGTGAATAAAAATAAAAAT